TATATATACCATTTTCATAATCCTCACATGAAAATAATTGGACATTTGCTCAGGTTGAGTTTTAATAAATCAGTAATAAGAACGTATTGAGTAACTTCTCTATTTTCATAAATATTTAGTTTTAGTAAAATAAGTTATTTGACTTTCTTTATAACTATTTTTTTTATTATCTATTACAAATAAAATAAGAAAGAGAAAAAGAAGTTCCAAAATTGTCCTCTTTCTTGGTTTGCTTGCTCATTGCTATATACGGTGTTCTATTCCTTGTACTCCAATAAAAAATAATAATAATAACAATAAGTAATTAAAAATTGAAATTTGTAGCATGCCGACATGCAAAAGATGTACTCTTGACGATCGTTTTTGTCCCTCCTTAACATATATTGCATTTTATTCATCATTTAAATTTTATTAGTCCCTTAATATATATATATTGCAATTACATCATCCCCACCACAAGGAAATTTATCCTGTACCATAAGTTAGATGACAAGAAGGAAACAATATTTGTCGCAAATGATATATAGTTATCGGCAAATGAATCTGCCCATATCCATAAGAAGTGTGCGCGCGGCTATTAGAACAAGGAACTTTGGAGCTTCCACTGTCTTCTTTTTTTAGTTATTCAACTTCCACTTTAATACACTCAAGTTTAAAACTATTTTTTGCATGAAAAAATCAGTCTAACCTCACTTAAGTATTCAAAAAAATATTAAACAATTTTTTGTAATAAAAAAATCATTCAATTTTATCTTAGTATACTAGTAAATGTAAAACCTTCTTGTGCGAGCTTATAATTAATGACTTTACGTGATACTTAGACAAATTGAGACTTTTTAGTACAAAAAAAGTTTAGTTACTTTCTAAAATATTAGGCAAAATTAATGACTTTTTTGTTACAAAAAACAGTTTAATAACTTTAATGCAATAAAATGAAAGTTAAGTGATCATTCTTGAAATTAACCAATTATTTGTGGTGAATATAGAGTTATAGACAGGAGAACGTGTCATGTGACCAGGAGGTCACGGATTTGAGCTATGAAAATAGCCTCTTGCAGAAATGCAGGGTAAGGTTGTGTACAATAGACCCTTTGGTCCGACCCTTCCTTATACCCCGCACATAGCGGGAGCTTAGTACACCAGGCTGCCTAGACGGGAGAATGGGAAGAAAACAGAAAGGCAATATATAATTCAAATGATTGTGTACAATAGATCATTTGGTCCGGTCCTTCCTTATACCCGCACATAGCGGGAGCTTAGTACACTGGGCTGCCCGGGAGAATGGGAAGAAAACAGAAAGGCAATATATAATTCACATGATTGTACACGTGATACAGCCAATCCCTCATAAGAACCAGTGAGAGGCTGAGAGCCACCAAATTCTACTATCAAAAGATAAGTTATAAAAATAACACCAACCTCTTAGCGAAGAAAAACAAGAACAAGAAAATGGAAACCATAGGAGTACTAATGGCATGTTCAATGTCATCATACTTAGAACAAGAACTTGACAAGCGATACAACCTCTTACATTACTGGAACTTCTCCGACAAGAAAGAATTCTTGAACGAGTACGCGCATTTAATACGCGCTGTCGTGGGCAATGCTGCTGCTGGTGCTGATGCTGAACTTATCGAAGCGTTGCCTAAGCTAGAAATTGTGTCCAGTTTCAGTGTTGGTTTAGATAAGATTGATTTGAACAAGTGTAAAGAGAAGGGTATTAGAGTGACAAATACACCTGATGTGTTAACTGATGATGTTGCTGACCTTGCTATTGGATTAATGTTGGCTGTGCTTAGGAGGATTTGCGAGTGTGATCGCTACGTTAAGAAGGGATTGTGGAAGGCTGGTGACTTCAAGTTGACTTCTAAGGTTTGTATTCCAATGATTTCATTTTATATGACGATATTTGATTTGAGAGTTTAAGATATCCTTTATTTCAATATTTCCAGCCTTTGATCCTTTGGTGATATGTCTATAAACTTCATTATCTCATTGGCGATATGTATATGGCTAAGTTGTTCAATGTAGTACATGTTCCTCTTGAATCTTGAAGTATTCATGTTTGTTTTAGAACACAATATAACATAATTTCCCTTTTGTAGATTTGCCCATATCAGTTATCATTAAGTGTAATATGACTCAACTGTTGGCGTTTTTAGCATAGTGACAATTAAGCAGCAATTTCTCAGCTTATTCAGTTTCTCTTCTGAATGAAATGTCAAAATCAACCTGTTATGTGCGACGTGGGCTTTGTTTTTAGTTATAAGTTGTCATGTTGGAGTTTCTGTTTCTGGATGTTGGAAAAACTTACCGAGTATATGACCCTCGATAGGAAAGAATGGAGGTCGAGTATTAGGGTGGAAGGCTAATAGGTGACTGTTAGTGTCTCTTAGTCTTACCGGTAGTACTAATACTATATTTTTGTATTTGTTTTTTCCTGGTTCCTTATTATTACATGTTGTGTCATTTGCTCTTATTGCATTGTTGTTGCTACTGTTTGTTATTTTATTTTCACTGTTGTTTGAGCCGAGGGTCTATCGGAAACAACCTCTCTACCTTCACAAGGTAGGGGTAAGATTCGCATACACATTACCCTCCCCAAACCTCACATGTGGGATTACACTTTGATTTTTTTTTTTGGTTTTTTTGTTAATGTTGTAAAAACTATTGTACATCATCTTTGTCTTAATGTAAACTCATGGCGCTTCAAAAGGTAATTTGTGGGACATATGGAATTTTTCTCTGTTCTCCAGGGGCAATAGAACTTGCAGGAGTAAATATTCTGTGACCAATTTGCATAACCATCTGAGCAGAGTGATATACACTAGCATTTACCTGATTCGTCGTTCTCTCTTTTGCAGTTTAGTGGCAAAACCGTTGGTATCATAGGATTAGGGAGGATTGGCTTAGCAATTGCCAAGAGAGCAGAAGCTTTTGGTTGTCTAATCAGTTACTACGCGAGATCAGAAAAAACAGATACAACTTACAAGTATTATCCAACTGTAGTCGAGTTGGCTACTAACTGTGAGATCCTGGTCGTGGCGTGTGCACTAACTCCTGAAACTCGTTACATTGTCAACCGTGAAGTTATTGATGCATTAGGTGCAAAAGGGATTCTTATCAATATCGGAAGGGGTCCTCATGTTGACGAAAAAGAACTAGTATCTGCTCTTCTTGATGGTCGATTAGGAGGCGCTGGCCTTGACGTGTTTGAGAATGAACCTGAAGTACCTGAGCAGTTATTTGGGCTTGAGAATGTAATCCTGTTGCCTCATGTAGCCAGTGGCACAGAGGAAACGCGCAAGGAAATGGCTGACATTGTTATTGAAAACTTAGAAGCTCACTTTCAGAACAAACCATTGTTAACTCCAGTGGTTTAGGAATGTAACTAACATATATTTGTCATGGTTTTCTGGAGGTTAGCTACATGTTGATGTAAATTTTGTTTCCCTTTATGTAACGGGGCCTTGGTGTAACTGGTAAAATTGTTGCCATGTTGATCAGGAGGTCTGCAATAGACTTGATCGGTTCTGCACTTCCCAAGAGAATTAGATTTTTCTTGTTGCATCAAAAGCCAGGTCTGCAATAGACTTGATCGGTTCTGCACTTCCCAAGAGAATTAGATTTTTCTTGTTGCATCAAAAGCCACTAACGCAAACCATGAGAAATGGCTCAAACTTGAAGCAATACTGTTAACTAAACAAGTTCTTGCAATGACCTGTTTTGTACAAAGCTTTTATATTCGGCAACAGTTTAAATAGGATCTACGAAACTAAATTTTTGAATAACATGATAATACTCATACAAATGTTGATTGAACGCTAGAATTTCCATTTGAAAAAAAGTACCTTAAAAGAGAGATTGCCTCTGTGAAGCTTTCTTCCCCAGTACTGCCTCCCAAACCAGCGGCAAGAATGGCCCTTTCTTGTCCAAATATTCCCTAACAGCTTTCTCATCAAGGATAAAACCCTTCTGCCTCACCGCTTTAATCATACTTTGGGCATCTTCCAGACTCTTCTCTTTGCAATACCCATCGACCAAATCCACAAAGGTCGTCATGTTGGGGGAATGTCCAGCCTCCAGCATCTCCAAGCAAAACTCGAGGGCGTCCTCTAATCTCTTTCCCTGACAGAGCCCCCGGATTAAGCTACTGTAACTAAAAGCATTAGGAATAATGCCATTGCCTTGCATTTTCCGGAAGATCCTCACAGCATCATCATATTTGTGGGCTTTACAAAAGCCTTGTACCACAGCAGTGTAGATAACAACTTCAGGTATGGTACCCTTTTCACGCATCAGACCACAGAGCTTCATGGCCTCCTGGACCAAGCCGTCCTTGCAAAGCCCATCAAGCATAGCTACAGCATTGGGTATTAGGCCAGTTTCTTTCATTTTCTTGAATATCTCATCTGAATCTTCGGGTGGAGCTGGAGGTGACTCGGAAGCAGGAGTGTCACTCCGTGCAGGATTGGTGTTTGGATTTTCATCTTTACGATCAAATCCAAGCTGAAACCTTTTCAGAAAATCTTGGCTATCCTGGCACTCGATTTGATTTTCATTATTCTCACCAGGTCTTCTAAAAGTTGTAGAATGGGTGGGGTTGCTGCTGCTGGGGCGTTGTCTTTGGGGTGGATTGAAGGGCCTTCTGGAATCAGCTCTTAAGGGCCTATTCGGTATAGGATCAGGAGGAGGAGGGTAGTTAGACTGAGTGGATTCATCAGGGTATTTGTTCGAGCTGCTAAACAAGGGTAATGTTGTTGACGAAAGTGTCTCATTTGCTTTCACCTTAGGAGAGCAGAGACTGCTGTAATTTTTCCAATAAATGTTAATACCCTTCTTTCTCAATAATGTTGTTCTCATAATGTTTATGTACTCGTTTCAAAATAGCACCAGGTGTTACTTAGTTATTCAAGGCAACAAAAGATGGTTTTATCCTGCTAATCCAAATGACCTGTAGACAAAATAATGAAACTTCATACCGCGCAATCAAAGACATTAATTATGAACTTTCTTTTACTCTACACCTACAAAGAGCAGTGTTTTAAAAAAAATAGTAGAGGATTAACTACATATGATGACAGCATAAAAATGATGAATGACAACAAGATATAAGAGAACGTGAATCAGCAGCAGAAGAGTATATGGCGATGGTAAAAGCGTCAGAGATCAACGGCCAAGACAGAAACAACGAGCAATACAGCAGCTAAATGCACACAATCAATAAGCTAGTGCCAATAGCAGATAAGTTCACATCCAGCAAAAACATGAACATGGATATACCAATATAATCTCTTGAAACTGTCAGAAACAAAAATAATCACTTATGATTCCATTGCTTACTTTACAAGTGACTTGTATCCACTTAATAAATCAATCAATCGATCATACCTCAATTAGTTACACAAATCCTGTGGATCCATTCTACTCTATTTTGTACTTATTTCATTCCAATACTAAATGCTTTGTCTTCTAAGATCTCATGCTCATTTTAATGAATGTAGTGATTTCTACAGCACTATTTGTTTCAAATTCATTAGTTTATCTTCTCCATAAACCCGACGCCAACTATTTAGCACTACTCCGTTCTTATCATCCATAAATTTCAACCATCTGTTTGTTCATATTCTATACATGATACAATTTGTTACATTGCACTCACTAATATTTACTCTCTCAGTCCCAATTTGTTTGGCAACGTTTGCTTATCAGGAGTCAAATTGATTAATTCTCTGAGCTAAATTCGGACAAGATTAATTTTTTTCCCCAAAAGATTCAGACTCAAATATTAGTTGCAATTCTCCTCGTATCAAAATATATGTTTCAAAATAATGGACAAAGTTCACTTAGCTTTAATCTCAAAAGGCCAAAAGTGCCAAACAAATCCCTATGGAGAAATACTAATAATCTTGAAACTGGAAATTTATTGCTCCTAGACTCCTAGTTGCTAAAGATATCAAGTTCTCAAACATACTAACTTGTTTGGATAACAAAAACTGGATACATGAGGCACTTTAAATAATTAGAAAAACCCAATTCTTTATCGGATGATTTGATAAAATGATTAGAAACTCCTTTTTCTTCCAACAATAATATTTTTTCTTTATGAGTTACCCAAAAAAAAAATTACTTCATCTTTGTGACTCATTACAAAAAGAGAAATACAGATAGAACAAAAGAAAGAAAGAAGTGAGCTTAAAGTTACAGGCTTACAGCTGAATTTCGCCGCAGAAAGAGATTACAAGGAGTTCGCCATTGGAGGAACCGAAGCAGGAGTAGGAAATGTTTGTGTATAAAGTCCAAAACTGAAATACTAATGTAAATAGTGTTGGATTTGGGCCAATATGCGTGAGCCTGTGCACAAATAGCCCCTTTTTCCCATTGGTATTTTTTCGTTCTTATACACTATTTGAAACCTTATTACCAAAAATGTTCAAGTTTAGGTATTTACCCGACCTACATACGTTTTAGCTACAAAAAATATATATTTATTTAAACTAAACTCCTTTCTGCGATATTCTTCCTTATTTAGACGTGGAATTTTGGGATCGCTTATATTTCAATTAGAGATTTTACTGACGCAATCATCGCATCATAATCAAGGCAACATATTTGTAGAATCCTTCTATCATGCAGATTTTCTCTGGTTATCATCGCACCATAATCAAGGCAACATATCTGTAGTATCCTTCTATTCTCTGGTTTCCTATGATTTTCCACAAACAAAGGTTTTGAAGAAAACAACTGCAAATAATTAGCTACAATTGAATTGAATTTCGTGACATAATGTCAAAATTAGCAATTATGCTTCACCTCAATGGTCAGTGGGATAGTGTTGAGAGATACAAAGATTTTGATGTTGATGGAATTGTAGTCAATGAAGATTCAAATTATAGTCAATTGAATTCCGCAATTGCAGAGCATCTAATGATCGATACCTCAGCAAAAATCATCGAAATCAAATACACTGTCAATGAACGTTGTCCTCCAATAGAAATTCGGAACGATATGGGAGTTCCAGTGTATATGGAGACACAAAAGGAAAACAAAAATTTAGGAATGTATAATCGTTGTGTATAACAGTGCATGATTTCGATTTGGAATGCAGTATGTCGAATGCGAGCACAATTGCAGGTTTGCTTTATTTTTTCAGTGCTGATGTTTATCAATTTCAAGTGTCCTACAATTTTACTATAAATTATCTACAATAATACTACATAACAAATGTAGTTCAACTGTTATGTCTCTACAAGTATTCTGTCAAATATTGAACACATGAATATATAGACGTCTGAATTACTATACTTTTAATTGAGTGCAGGTTCATCTGATTATCATAATACTAACATGGTACAATTGTCAAGCAATTGTAACACAATTGGAGAAGTATCAGGAATAATGAAGTTGATTGATATGCAAACATCTCCGACAATTATGGAATATGAAAGTATCATCATAACAGAACATACGCCAAATATAATTGAAGTAGGCCAAGTTTACCAAGACAAGCAAGCAATTATCAATGCAATGAAGCACTATTCTGTCATGAATAAGTTTTAATTTAGGGTGAAAAGGTCTAGTGCAAGAAGGTAGGAATATTTTATTTGTCAAATTCATATTGTGTATAAGTTGTAATTTTTTTGTATATAAATTGTTTAAGACATGTTGTCGTGCATAAATAGCCTCGTATTCTATAGCTACAATTTGCATAACATTTTTGAATTATTTTTATTCTATAGCTACTACCTCGTATGTGTCGGGGACAATTGTATGTGGCACTTCAAGTCCGCCAGCATAAATGAATCAGCATTGTTCAATGTTCGAAAATTCAACAACTTGCACACATGTTCTTTGATGGACAACATATATATGCAATGCAAACCTACTGCCATGGTAGTTGGCAGCATGGTGATGCCAAAATATGCGGATCCTAAGATAATATACATACCAAAAGACATACAAACTGACATGTTGTCGGATCATGGTGTGAACTTAACATACATGCAAGCTTGGAAAGCAAAGGAAAAGGCTTTGAAATTTTTGAGAGGTCATCCTGTTGATTCCTACAGTCGCTTGCCGAGTTATTTGTATATTCTAGAGAAAACGTATCCGGGGTCGGTAGTGAAATTGCAGAAGACTGAAGATGACTGTTTCTTGTATTCATTTGTTGCACTTCGTACGTTCATCAAGGGTTAGGAGCATTGTAGGCCAGTTGTAGTAGTTGACGGCACCTTTTTGAAGTCGGCATATAGGGAAATCATGCTAACAGTTAGCACAATGGATGTAACAGGTAATGTAGATTAATTGTAAAAATATTGTTATAAAGTTGTTTTTGAGACTGTATTTTTTATATTTTCAAGTTTTATTATAGAAATTGAATTTAATTTTGCTACCTATGTGATAGGTAGAATATTACCACTAGCATACGCCGTTGTTGATTCAGAAAATAACGCATTGTGGAGATGGTTTTTTGAGCAATTCAAATATGCATATGGTGAAAAACCAAATATGTGTGTTGTTTCGGACCGGAATAAAAGTATCTTGAAGGCAATATTTATTGTTTATACCCCGCATGCCATACTATGCTTGCATGTGGCATATTTGGACAAATGTAAGGTCAAAGATAAAGAAGGGTCATCTAAAGTTAAGCGAATTGTACTTTGCCATGCCACGATTATACACGCTTGATGAATTTAATGAAAGAATGTCAAAGATTGAAGAGATCGACATATATGTGTTAAAACATACCTATACGATATTGGCTATCACATATGGTCTCGGGTATATGTTACGATAAACAGAACGTGGACGATGACATCAAATATTACAGAGTCCTTAAATACGGTAACTAAAGATGCAAGAGAGTTGCCCGTAGTAGAACCATTAGAGTACATGTTGGACTAATGAAACATTATGGAATGCAAATGGTACGTTCACATACCTTAGGAAAAAATACAACAAAGAGTTGGAGGACAACATGACATTATCGCATAAGAAGAGAGTAAGTTATAGCCAATAACATCACATAATTGATTCCATCAAACTAAATATATACTGATAATTGTAGAAATGTCATTGTATAATTGTAGTTATTTTATTTTGTATATGTTGCTGACAACTTGTTGTGTGTTTGTAATGAAATTGTAGGTGAGGGCTTCAACAGATTACATCCATACTGTGATAGATGGTGTGAAGCGCTTCATTGTTTGCCTTCAAAAAAAGAGATGTAGTTGTGGATAATTTCAGCTTGATGAACTTCCTTGTCCACATGCTTTGGCGGCTTTGAGGCACAAGAACGAGTCTAGTGAAAACTATTGTTCTCTTTATTACACGAGGGAGATCCTTCTGCAGACTTATGAAATACCAGTAGATCTGTTGCCTGATGAAAGCAAATGGAATGTGCCACAACATATAGCTAAAGAAGTTGTAATGCCACCTACTGGGGAAAGGGAGCCAGGGAGACCTCAAAAATAAAGATACAAACTATATGATGAAGTAAATGCAAAGAAGTACAAGGTTTCATATGGCAACTACGGACTAGAAGGGCATGACCAAAGATCTTGTAGTAATGCTCCCAAAAGGAAATAAAAATTGATACAGTTTAAAGAATTTTTTACTGAGTATTGTTGATGATAATCTGTCATTTAAGACATATGAAATTGTATTTGTTATGTTCTGAAAAATAATAGTTGTGGTGTAATTGTGTTGCTAATTTGAATAAAGATTGTCTCATATAATGAATGTTTGATAAACAGATTTTAACTCTTAATGCAATTGGTTTGTAGTTGTTTTGTTCAAATACTGTGTTTATTTATTACTTTTTAGCCTTTCCCAACAACATTGCTTAAATTGAATATATTATGTATTTTTGTATAGCAGTTATAGACATAATTATAGTTATGTTGTAAAGAACGTATATAGTACCAATATCGATATCAAGTACTAACAACTTTCAACAAAAAAAATATATGTTTTCTATTCTAAGTAGTAGAATTCTAGATAAAATAACAAAACAAAAGGTAAAATAATTGTAGCACAAATCTGCTACAAATAAATTGCAACTGACTTGTTCTTAATAAACAATATGTCTACAACTGTACTACAATCCAGTTACAACTAAACACTTTAACTACAAAATTTCTACTGAAAAGGGCAACTAATTCTTCTTTTTCCGGACTTATGTTCTCTCGTTCACAGCTGGTGTACCTTTTCTTCTTGTTAATCTGCCAATCACCTCACTTTAACTAATTGCATCAAGCTCTTATTTTTTTCCTAGCATAATCCCAAAGGAGCGCTCCATAGCGTCTACGGTATTGATCAATATCAGAAAGATCTTCCTTTGAAATCGATAGCTCTCCAATGCTAACATATTCTGCAAATGCCGCCACGTATAAACCACAGTCACTGCAAAAAATATAGGGGAAAAGATTTAGCATTCAATGTAAAATACAATTGGTTAAATAGATAGGAGGTAAAATAGAACATACAGTGATCCCTCTTTTTGTTGGTGTATCTTACCGACCAACCACTGAATGTCAAGAGGGTTAGTAGCACCTTTTCAATGTATGCCTTTGTGTTCTTATAGTTGATGTCTGGACGCTTGCCATAGAAGCCAGTGCATGACAAGTAGAGGGGGATCATAATAGCAAATTTGTCGACAATAAATTCAACAAGTTTGTGATTTCGCGAAGAGACCATAGAATCATAAACATATAGAACCCTATCGGTAATGTCAAACACAGCCAACAACCAATGAAATATTTCCACAATGTTTATGGGCATAATCACAAAATTAACTTTGCCCCATGCAACATTTGCAAGTAATTGGTATCCCCAATATGTATTCTGATACGATGTCCTGGGGTTTGACAACAACAAGTTTCTTATCGGCAGGAGCATTAATGTACCTCTCATAAATTTGTTCAATTCTAGTCTTGAACATACAGTCGGTGGTTGTAAACCGTATTTTATTTTTAGGACCATACTTTCCTCTCTTCCTCAACTAGTATAAAATAACATTAATGTGCTGCAAAAAAAATAGATTTCATTATTTCTCAATGCTTCATACAATTTAACTATAATTTTCAAACAAAAAATCTTAAGATTTCTAAAATAACAGAATACTACAGCTAATCATTAAATTATGTCAGGGTATGTGTGTACCATGTTATTGAAAACTTGCCCGAGATGTGCCAAAGTATAAAACCAATCCTTTTTATCAACTTTCTCCGCTCCAAGATCAAACCCAGACCACGGCTTGAGCTGGTTATCTTTTAAAGTATAAGATACCTTTCTCC